AAACTATTTAATTTGATACATTTGTTTGTCAGATACTTTATTTTCTAGGAGAATAACCCTTCAGCCATACTAGAAAGCTCACTTTTCTATCTATCTATCTATCTATCTATCTAGTTCAAGTTGCTTTATTGGTATGACATTAGTGTAGGCTATTGGCTACAATAGTAGGCTATTGCAAAAGCATTTTAAGTATGTGTAAAATACAGAATAATTACATCACCAAAGCAATAAACGAGACAATAAATAAGTAATAAATTAGAAAATAAATAAATACAATAAAAATAACAACAGCAAACAGTATCTATCTATCTATCTATCTATCTATTGTCTGTCTGTCACACTGTTATGGCACTCAAAAGGCTAGGCTAATGTATAAAATGTTAGATTTTTTGAGTACAGTTTCAAGTAGGCTACATTTTGACATAAGTGATACATAAAACGCCTATCTATCGAAAAAAGAAAAGATAGAAAGAACCAAGTGGTATTTTAAGAATTCACAAACTACATATTTTGATTCAGTGAATGGAGCTGTACTTCAAACAGGCGAGCGCTCAATCACGGTGTGCGCAAGCGTTGCGCAGAGCTGATGCACATGAGCACGTTTCATTTGCTGACTATTGTCATGTTAAACGTTTTGGTTGCTAGACGACAATAATGCACATTACACCCGTACAGCGAAGAGAGACGCGAAACGACGCTGAGCAATATTATTATTTTATTAGTATTATTTACTCCTTAGCGTTTACACACCATATCGACGTAGGGTCTGCTGCTTTTCTTAACGGCGACATCAGGAAGCAGCTGCATCTTGGGAACTTCTTCTTAAGACCCCCTACCCATGTCAATGCTCTTTTATGCTGTTTTATATTAGGATTGATACGACTCTTTGACATGAGAAAAATAAGATTTCCTGCTGCATCATAATAGCCTACTCGGACATTACAGGTCGTACCTCCACGAGAAAGTATTATGGTCCTATTGTCTGTAAAAGGTGATGATAAAATAAAAACAGGCCATCTCAAAAGCTATAATGTCTGTAGTAGCTGGAGAACTTGTCACTGAAGAGGAGGTAGAGGATCTGGTAAGTACATTAACAGTTTTCATAGATGTTCTGGACTGTAATATTAACAAAAATACCATACAATACCACTATGTGAGAGTGGAGCTTACTATGTCTTGGGATACCACCTCTTGCAGAAAGTTACGCAAATACCATGTCATATGAATATGATAATCATTATTTAGGAACATTGGTTATATTGACGTTTAATGGTATTACAATTTGATATAGCCTACTACTTAGTAGTATATATATATTTATATATATATATATATATATAATTTGTTTTCAAGGCAGAGGACAGTCTTTGTGGCAGCTATGTGTGCGACACTGAAAAGGTGAGATGGACATTTTTAAATATTATTTTTCCCCCCAGATTTTAGGCCAGCCTGTTTACTTAGTTTTACCGAATCTTTCGTTCTTCAATCTTTGAATGTTTGTGCCAAAAGGTACTATATCCATGTGTCTGATTGTTGGATTTCTTTTTAGAAATCAAGAAAAAAGAAAGTTTCAGGCAGACCACCTCCTTCTCCTAGTAAGTTTAAGATTTAGAAATAAGTTTAAGATCTATTGCATTTCCATGCCTGCCACACAAATGCTACCATCTGTGTATTACTGTATCCAGTGTTGGGGAAAGTTACTTTTAAAAGTAATGCATTACAATGTTGCGTTACTCCCTAAAAAGTAACTAATTGCATTACCTTAGTCACTTTTTATGGAAAGTAATGTATTACTTTACTTTTGCGTTACTTTTTATCATCTGGGCTGGGCTCATTTTTCTTTCTTCAGCAATACAAAATTGAATCACAAATGTTATGTTTATCTAAAGTCATTTTTGCTTATTAGTATGGTTGAATTGGATTATCGAATGTTAGCGATTAATAAAATGGGATATTTATGTTTTTTTTAACGTATTTATTTATTGCAGTTTTGCATTTCACTGTTTTTGTTCATTTTGAGAAATAATGAATCTGTTTTTGTGCAGGTGAGATAAGTAAATGCATGTTCACATTTATTCTAGAACTACAGTAACCATCATGTTTGCACAGTACACACAATGCATCTGCGCTTGTTCCCGATTTCTCTTCGGGGATGGGGACAGAAGAGCTGTCAGTCAATAAATGGAAAAAAAACTAAGTAACTGGCATTACCTATTAGAAAAAGTAACTCAGATATTTTCTAAAGTAATGTGTTACTTTACTAGTTACTTAAAAAAGTAATCTGATTACGTAACTTGTGTTATTT